GTTAGAATGAAAAAACACCAGTCCACATAAGAGTTAATGTTCTCAGGGAAGTACAACGTGGGTTGAAAGCAGCTAATCATTTCTAAGAGGCTCTGCAATGCAAAGCTATGTAAACTACTTTGAATACCTTTGTTTCATGCACAGAATGATTAACTAAGTGCCATCTATTTCTTATTGAAACACCAGCTAACACACATATCATATTGAGGGAAACAGCGATAGAAATAACTAAGTACATTTACTCAAGTGCAGTCGAGGCACTGAGTATTTTACTTATATTCTTCTTATTCTTGGGGATAGCTTGTTTTAAGTTTCTATTGTAGTTTAAGAAGCCTTCACAATATCCTAATTAAGATGGTGAAACTATTTTTCACTCCTCCCTGATCATATTTTAACTGTTACTACATTGCTCCCACTGCCATCATAGATTGATTTTAATGACAACCTTGGGACAACAAGGCTGAAACTGATGGGATGACAGCAATGAGTGGCAACTCATGACCACTTGGTGGCATTTTATTCACTAAGAGCGGAGGCACAGGCCTGGCCTGTTGTCAGCAGCTGACTGTGTTGTACAAAGTCACTACATGGGGTTGACAAAATGATGTAAGCTCAATGTGAATAGGGACTTCAGCTGCAAGTGTCTTTCAAGTGCTACTTCAGAGGTGGGTCGTGACACTCTGGTTAGCACTTCCTTATCAGTAGCAGAGTGTAACCTAGTAGATTTACTTTACAAATTAAATTTTGCGGTACCTGTACTATACTTACTTAGTATTTTCATTTAATGTTACATTATACTCTAATCCACTATATCTCAGAGGCAAATATTGTACTCTTTACTCAATTATATTTAACAGATGTAGCTACAAGTTAAATTGCAGATGAAGTTGTTATAAATAAAACCTATGAAGAGTTTATAAAATACAGTGCATTGCTATCGGTTAATCTACTCAAGAAACATCAGCTTTTCAAAGTTTTTATGGATGTTGATGATGATGATGACGGACAAAGAGTCAAGTAAGAACTCAAGTACAACCCCATTAAACATATCCATATATATTTTATTCTCAATACGGCAAAATACAAAGAATATTCAGGACAGACTCTCATTAGTCACAATTAATACTCACTTCACAAGAATGCTTTTAAATTACATAACCTAAGTTTGAAGATCAAACTCAATGAGTACCTTTAATCATATTGCATCCATTACATATAGCATCTCTATCATCAGTTCTCTTAAAACTAATCCAATTTAGACTATTGTACATAGTGTATGCTGTAGGTCTCACTTTGGAGACGACTTTTAGAAAAAAGGTGTTATACAACATACTGTATAAACTGCTACAACTGTTTTGATGTGTAGAGAAATACCTCTGTTTCAAAAGACATGTTGGACCAATTGTTCAAAAGGGACACATAGTAAATACATCTCTCTCATGAGGAAGAAATAGACGTGGTTTTACATAACAGACTGTACACGCCATCCATCCATCCCATGAGATCAACAATATACATTTCATGAAAAGTACACGCCTCCATATCAAATACAGAGAAGACAAAATATTCGCACTTGGATCTAGAGACATTAATGATTATGTGGCGACATGATACTGAGAGACAGTGAAGCAGAAGACACGTATACGAGCACGGTAAGAAAAAAGGACTGAGAAATCAATTTGATATACAGTGTTAAGAGACTGGGATGTCATCTGTAACAGCTTGGAAAAAGGAGAGAACAGAAAAGCCCACAGAGGAAAAAAAATGTGCATAAAGTATCTCACAAATGTATTTACAGATCTTTAAATTTAATAAAAATGTCAACCTGTAGTAGAAATTCACCCTTAAAGAAATGTTATATTTACAATTTATACATTTGTATTTAAATAGAAACATGCAAGTGTTAACATCTTCCTACTGAATGTCAAAAAAAACTCATCTTACCCTGGATTCTTTAAAGTTAGAATTAATATTAATTACTACTTACAATGAAATCTCATCATGAACAACCCCAATACATTTACATCTTCCTATTTCATAAAATGGTACTCCTTAAAAAGGCAAAAATAGAAAAAAAACATTAAGGAAAGGGGCAGAAAAATAAATAAGTGTGAGTAGCAAACAGTTAAAAATTATTCTAATGCTAAATTTGTACATTTGACTACAAGAGGCGCGGACCTGTACTTACAAAGTGTACCAGTGTATGAAGACATTGACTGGGCTGGCAAAACCCACAGAAGGATTCCTATGAGAAAAGTGGCCTCCAGCTTTAAGTACAAAATGGCTCAAGCCATTGGTGTTTGGTTATAAAAACAGATCTATATACACATATATACTAAACCAGTACACAAAATTGCAAAAGCTAAAGGCATTGGACACTTGAGTTAAACAGGTTTCTCGCTGAGGCGGAAAAAAAAAAAAAAAAAAGGAGGGGAAAAAAATCCCAAGCCTAAAATTAAACTTTTTCCACAGAAACAGATCGTTTTTTTTTTTTTTGTAAAAATCCTGCATAGATTAAAATAATACCTCCTCTGACTTTCTCTTTTTCAAGTGCAAGAGGAAATAACAGTATCCCCTCCTACAATAAAGGCCAGGGAGCCAGTGAAGGAAAGAAAATACAAGACACAACACAAAAAAGGTAAAACCTGGGCCACATAGTAATTCTTCAGATTTGTTTTGCTGAGATGAAAATGGTTTTGTCAACTCAAAAACTTACACTAAATTTAAGTTTTAAAATCGAGGAAAAAGTGCAAGAAAGTTAAAGAGTATCGCAGCTCTTTAACTGTCTGGCACTTCATACTTATCCAAACTCTACCTTACATGGACTAAAACTAAATCAGCCAGTAAGAGTTTCCATGAATACTACTTGGTCCAGGCTTTAATATTTCCAGCATGTTTTAGTAGGAAGTGGGCTTAAAATAACCAGAAACCAGACAGTCCTTCATGTCAATGATCATTACCAAACACAGAAATGTCAACCAAAACATCCTCATTCAAAACCACTGCCGTCCAAAATTTGCTTTGATGACAACCAGTAATTCTAAATAACAGAAATGTTCATATGTGGACAGCTGGCATACACAGTTACTCTGTTGTCTCCCCCCCGCCTGCTGAACCATGTTAACAACAACTAGCTTAAACATTTTTTATCTACTGTCCCGTAATACAAGTATGATTAAGGTTTTAAAATTTAAATAGGAACAATTACATATACAAATACTTTGCATCTTATAACCCCTGTTCAACCCTGTTTTAAAACTTATGCATTTGAAACGTTATACTTCTGCTTGGCCAGAAGACAAAAAAAAACTGCTTGGTATATAAATAAAATCTATATGGCCGTTTATACTTCTTATTTGAAATATATAATCATAGATTTAAAACTCTTTGATCTATAAATGCAACACTGCTAATCTGCATCACTGATGAGTTTGCCTCTCTAAAGAACATCTTTCCTTTCAGATGAATTTGCTTTAGTTGTGCCAAATCAGTGGTCACACAGGCCCAGTTTTTATAAACTGCGATGAAAATAACTGTATTGTATACGTAACTGGATACGATCTTCAATACTTAAGACACTCCCTGCTGTTTCTTAGAAAAATGCACTGAGCAAACAAGGGGATCAAAAAAAAAAAAGACAGAATAACACTGAGTGGAAGTGACTGTTCCTTGAGGAAATTGCTCAGTGAACAATGTAGCTACGAGGGTAAAATCATTTCTTAGGAAGAGACTCGTATTCTGGAGCTTCCAAAGAAGCAGCAAATCTTTTATAGAGAATGTTAACGTGATCAATTTTTATGAAGGCCGCGAATCGAAAAGCCCTGCTAGCAGCCCCTGGAGGTCATGCCAGGAGCAGCATGGCCCCCGGGGGCTCACCAACATTTCATTTTCTAGCAGGACAAAAAGAAATTCATGATTCTTAAAATTAAAATTACACTGTTCAAAAAACAAATACACCGATCAATATAACTTCTGATAGAGCATTTTTATATTTAAATGTGTCAGAAGTATTAAACTGCTATGCACAGTAGCCCTTCCTACAGTCCTTTAACCTTGTGGGCATGCTCCAAGATTAATCTCTGGTGCCTAGAGACTTGAAGGAGAGATCAATCAAGATGGTTAGAAGCTTAATTAGTGGCTGACACCATCTTTGTCACTATCGGAAATGTTAAATGTGTTAAGAGGATTGGACTCAGAAATGTGCAATAAAAACATAATTGCTGCCAGCTTCAATTGATTGCTGAATGTATAAAAAATGTATAAAATGACGACTGTGGCTAAAGCAAAAAATTAAAAATCCAAAAAAAAAAAAAAGGAAAAAAAATAATTTATTCAGATATGATGACTGACCGTTTGTTTTCCTGTAGCTCACATACAAGGCACAAAAATGATAAAGAGAAACCTTCATTTTTAAAGCACCTTTGGTGTTTATGGGAGGTACTTTGGTGAAACAAAGTAAAAGAAAAAAGTTAAAAGCCAAAGTAGCCTATAAACCAAACTCCATTTTTAGTGTATTCATAATAAATAATTCATCCAGCGCTTCCATGCCAAAGAGATAAAAACATGGCCTTCAAAGATTTCGTAAGAATGCCGATATATGAAGTATGGCGATAAGCTCTTTTGATTCCTGTGTTGCAGTTTCTGATGCGTCTCCCTGTGTGGTGCCGTCGAAGGTGTGAGATGTTTCTAAATTGCTCAGTGTTTTTGGCAAGCTGGTGTAGAAATGGACACAGTGTTGGAGATATGTCTGAGAAGTTCTTCACCTGTGTGTACATGGAGGACCAGAGGTGGACTGTGTGTGTGTGTGTGTGTGTGTGTGTGTGTGCATACAGTACATGATTATTTGTGTTTGTTTGTCATTGCGGGCATGCTTGTGTCTTTGAGCACATGTTGCTGAGCACAAGAGGCTGAGGTGGTGTGTGTGTGTGTGTGTGTGTGTGTGTGTGTGTGTGTGTGTGTGTGTGTGTGTATATAAGCAGTGGGCAGGGAGTGAGTCCTCGCTAGGGAATAAGCTTTGCGTCCAGGCGCAGCCAGTGGAGGCCCTGCCGTGTGTAACGCACCAGTTCTGTCATGCTGCTGGTGTTGAAGATCAGAGGACCCATCACCTTGTCCAACTCCAGGAAGAAGTCTGGGAAAACAAAGACACAGTGAAAGATGACAGTTTTAAATTATTTTGAATCATCATTTAATCTGTTTAATATTTTTAATAATCAGCTTCAGTTTACTGTTTTTTAATAATCAGCTAATAATCATAATTGTTTAGTCTATAAATTGTCAGAAAATAGTAAAAAAAAAAAAAAAAAAAAAAGCCCCCCAAAAATTTCCCAGAGCTAAAATGATGTCTTAAAAAGTCCAAAACTCATCATATTCAATTTAAAATGACAGTTAAAAAAAAAAAAAAAACAGCAAATCCTTACATCCGAGAAGCTGAAAACAGCATATATTTGCTATTTCTGCTTGAGAAATGACTCCAACAATTAATTGACTATTCAGTACTTCCTGAGATTTAAAATCTCTATTTCTATCTGTATTGTACTTTTCTTGTGCATTTTGCCTTTTTTTTCCAGATATCATAGCATTTAATGAGACATGACAGAAAAGGAGGGGAGAGAGAGGGTTGAAGACAAGGAACAAAAAACCTGCAGTCTATTCACATTACCCTGCACAACGGAGGAGCACAGTGCAACAAGTGAGGGCAAGTTGCAGATTTCAACAAAAAAGAATGTATACTTACGCTTTAAAAATGAACTGATAATGTTTCTACATTACAGTCATTTGCAAATGTTTGGGGGATTACTAAGTATTGACTTAGTAGGGTGGCCAAAGTTTTTCACATACCTCCATTAGTGTTTTATTTTTCAAATTCATGAAATAAATAACTGTGAATTAACATTTGAAGAAGGCTCATTTTTTGTTTTCTGCATGGGCCTGTAGTTACTTATTCTCACTTGAAACAAACAAACAAACAAACAAAAAAAAAAAAAAAGGGAGTTTTACCTTTCTGCTCTTTGGATAGTTGCTCAGCCTGGTCCCAGACCTCGGTGGCGTACAGGAAGTTGGAGGTGACCTGGACGTAGCTGGCAGCCATCTGGTGGATACGTTGAGGTATGGTCACAGACGAACTGGCGCTGCTGCTGCTGCTGACTGACGAGTAACCACTGGCCGTGCCCGGGGACAGTTTGGGAGACACTGGGGAGGGCATACCCGCTGCCTTACTACATCAGGAAACAGAAAGAAAGAAAAAAAAAAAAAAACAAGGCAAGAGATTTCAGTATCCTGAACACAAACTGATAATCAGCCATAGTAGTATTTATCTTATTCATTTATCCAATTTCTGCCCAGTAAGACTTAATAACCTTAAACAAGAAACTTATTGCAGGTCAACAAGTATCTGCATAGGTGCTGATAAAAAAACAAACAAACAGTATTTCTAATGGTATTCTCAACTTTTGGGGAAATTCTCGGAATAGGAAAATGTTAAACTCATTTGAGACACTTTTTCTCAACATTCAATGCTTGCGTGGGAAACACAGATTTCTCCTTTACAGTTACTTTTAGAAGGACATGACTTACTTTCCCATTCCAGGAGAGGGAGCCTGGGTGTTACTCAGAGAATTCTGTCAAACAAAATGAGAGGAAGAACATTATGTACACAGAGAGGAAGCAGGTTACACATTCACAGAGGAGAACTGTATTGATGGAATATATAATGCTTTCCTGGGATTTTGAAGGGTTACCAAGCAAAACTAGATTTCAGAAACAAATGTACCTTTAAGTGTTCGGTGAGTGTTTTGGAGTATTTTAGTGCACTGTCCTTCCTCAGCTTGAATAACCGCAGGTAGAGGAGGGACTGGCATCGTAGGCTGGAAAAAGAAATGGAATAACATTGATCTAAAACGTTCCAAAAAGGAAGCAATGACCAGAGACATGTGGACCCCTTAAATAGACAACTCCTCTTCATCAAATAGTAACAATTTTGAGCACTTTGAGTACTTTGAAGGCGCAGCTTAAAGACAACAGCTCTACCACATCAAATGGAAATGTCCGCATACTTACCAAAGCACAGCTAGCCTCTTGTCTGCTGAAGTAGCATCTGGGGCCATATAGCTTTTTAACTTCATAGTGTATCTGAATGCACAGACAGAACAAACATTTAGTTTCTAAGAGAACCAACCGTTTTGGTCTCCATAGAAACATTTTTATTTCATTAACAGATTCATTCAATACACAGATCAAAATAGAGCAGCAGAAGCAGAAATATCGTCTTTTTGATTCCAAAACGTTCTTCTTCCTTTTTATAACCCATCTGCTCGACAATTCAGAGATTTGGGAGTGCTATGCTAATAGCAGCTAATATAGCCTTGAAACGAGATGACAAGTGTGCAACAGAGCTTTGGAAGGCCCACTAACTCCACAGTTCCCTGAAATGGCTGTACAGCAGAACTACCCAGAAATGCAAAAGTGATAAAGCAATGAAGGTATTTATGTTTGTCCTTACTTGATAAGCTCCACAGTTTCAGCATACATGGGGAAGGGAGACTTGGCCTCTTGGGCACTCTTCTCCAGAGCGTTACCACATTCAATGAAAGACACCACAGCGTCAAGGTAGTAAACTGCCTTCTCAAAACGGTCCAGCTGTAAAAAGGGGGAACAGGGACAGAGCAAAAATAAAATCACTGTTGTGAGTTTTAGGGAGCTTGTACCTGTCAAATATTGCATTTCGTTTCCCAGCTGTTTTTCGCTGTAGAGAGCTAAATACTTTTCACTGACTTTTAATTTGACAAGCTTTTGGCCTGGTGTGTTACATAACTAACTGATTTACTGATAACTGACTGTACATGATTTGGTGTGGATTATGTGAAACCCTCTTTTCAGTAAATAACAGCAGCAACAGATAATTCAGTTATGTACATGCTAGCCTTTGGACTGAATGTAAAACATAACAGATGACTAATGAATTGTAATTGGTTCTCAATTGTAAACCAGGTAATTTACAGAAAAATTTGAAAGCATTCCCATAATACATATTATATAAAATATTAGAAATATTATTGCTTAATTATCAGCAATGTGTTGTTTGTTTGTAGCATTTTCTTGTCAAATTTTATGTAGCATTTAAATTGTGATCTCACACTTGCATTTACGTAGGGGACAAAAATAATTTCAAATATATTTTTGACTGGAAATAACAGGTAGCAGCATCAGGTTTCTCCCCAGGTAAAGTAACTGATACCAGACATGCAGTTAAATATAGCCATCAGCTCATGTTACAGTGACCAGGTAAGAAAAGTGTTCATGTTTCCCTTTTCTTTCTTTTTTCTGCTCGAAAACTCTGGGAAGAGGAAAAATGGTCCACGGAACTGAGGTCAATTCAGTACAATAAACACCATACCATCACATACATTTCACCAATAAAGCAAATGTGTTAATAGTAGCATAAAGCTCAAGCTGAATCTCACCACGATGTAGTCTTACAATAAGGTCTAGACTTTGTTGATATAGCACACCTCTCCTTTCATGGCTTTGCATGTTGCAAAGCAGCGCAACATCTCAATTACACATGTAAATAGTCTTTAGGCTCTTGTTCTTACCAGTGCATCTGCATTGTGTTTAAGTTTCTTGGCCTCTTGTAAGTAGTGATCAGCCGAATGGACCCTGAAACAAAGTTGTTAACAGGTCAAACGAATCCGATCAAATCTGAAACATTTCTTTCAGTAACAAACACTTTTGCAATGCTTAAGCTATAGCTCAGTTTCTGCATTGATTTGCTCGAAGCACAGACCCTGAGAAGTACACACAAAAACATTTTCCCATCCGCTTAAACATCAGTTCTTCCAAAAAATAAATAAATAAAACCCCTGAAACAAAAGACACAAAAATAAGAAGCAAGACTATGTTGTTTCTTTACTAGCATGAAAAGGACAGAGATTCCCAGCAGAGAAACCTTTTAAAATGGAAATTTACGTCACCTTTCCTGTATGCAGGCACATCTATTCATGACCTCCCCAACCTCCTACAGCTTTATGCATCAAAGGCAACTCTAGATCCCCACAGCCGTTCTTTCTGCATATCCCACTGTGGGGTTATCCACAGTGGAAAGAGCTCCTCTTACCTGTCCTCAAACACCAGCTTGGATCTCTGAGACTTGGAGCCATCCGTGGAGAGTGGAGGCACAGCCAGCTGGTTATCACAGCCCTTTGAGGATTTCTCCTGCAGAGACGGCAAGAGAGAGGGAATAAAGTTTCAGGAATAAGGGGTCTGGTGTTTGAAGTGGAGGATAAAATGTAGAAAAAAGGGCCAGTGTGGAAAAAATTCATGAGGTTGAAATACACCGCGCTCTACGGGAATTGGGCATATACAATATATACACCCCAATAATTCAGTGATTAGCTGCTGGTTAGACACAGTGTAAACACTTATTAGACTCATTAGTGACTTTAATCATATTTAAATGCCAGTGTTCTCGACCTCTCCCCTTCTCCCACAGCAACGATTTCATTATTCAACTTCCCCCAGGGGACACACACTGCATGGTTGGCAAGGATGATCAAAGACTGCACTCACACACTTCGCAGTATCCATGGTGTTTGCCAGGTTTTCACACAGACAGCAAATGCCTGGCAGTAAGGTTACTTGCACCCACCTTGCCATCACGTGTGCTGCGTCCCTTGTCTTCTCCTTTTCTGTGTTTGGAGGTGGAGTTGCCCTTGGTGCTGTGGCTACCCTCCTTTCCACTTCCTGTCCCGCTGGACAAAGAGGTGGAGGACTGGCTGACCGTCCTCTTCCGACTCGGATGCTCTGCCTTGGGTGTCCGCTGCAGACCTGACATGGAAGGAGAAGGGACTGGCTCCTCTTTCTTCTCCAAAGACCTCTTAGACCTGATTGGATAAAAATCATCATTATTGTAATACATATATTTTTTTGTATTACCTACATTGACCTGTTGTGTAGCAATACTTTAACCAACATCACAAAATATTAACACTCAAAGATTAAATGTTAACATGTCATTGAACCCTTAGAACACAGCAGAGACGTCATTAGAATAAAGGTTAACAGGTACAGCTTCAAGAGGTTTCGATGTAATAAACGAGACGTCACTGAGCTATCATGCTTTGATTTTATGATGCTCGTTAAGAGTTTATTGGGTTTATTTCGTGAATTTTAAGAATAGAGACAAAAAGCATCTGGCAAGCTTCATTTTGCCTCTGCAATATGAGGCACTACTGTCACATCAAGTGTGCCAAGTGTTGCTGGAATGCAGAGGGTTTACTGTGAATAATGAACAGGAGGGAAAGGAAAAATACTCACTCTTTACTGCTGTTTTTATGATGAGATAGAGACTTATCCTCTAGCTTGCATCGCTTGCTCTCTGGCTTGGTGCCTTCTTCATCATTCTAAAGGTACGGAGATCACAGAAAATTAAAAGTAAAGACACATTAAAAGGATACTCAAGATTTATTGATGTGTGTAAATGCCTCTGTGGGAACTAATCTGAAGACGTATAGAAAATTGCAGCCTTGCACTTTAACTCTTTGGAGGTTCAATACAACCTTCTGGTAGTGCTCAATGACACACAACTCCTATCTCTTTCTCAGGTAGTTTCAAAGCTATGATTTTAAAAAAAAAATGCACAATCATCTAATGGCAAAAAGTCCAGGTCTGGATCATCACCAAAATGTAATCAATTGTTCTTTGGCTCAAAGCAGTTTCTTGCTTTGATGGAAATCTGTTTGTAGGTTATGGTAAGACATGGAGACATTAAAGTGGTGCGATTACAACTTCCTTCAACAAAGATGAAAATAAATCATCAATCAGTGTGCAAAGTCATACTGAAAACATACCTTGGTAAAAAAAAAAAAATGAAAAAAAAAAAAAAGATGTTTTTTTGGACAGGGGTTTTAGATCATTTGAAATTTTTTTATAAAGTAAAAAGAAGAGTGAGATGTTTTTACATTTTATTCTTCTAAAAGCTTTTTATTTAAGAGAAAAAGAACTGAATTGTGTTCTACCTTGTGTTTCCTCTTGGCCTTGCTGGAGCTCTTCTCAGAGCTCTGCTTGCTAAAGTCTTTGCTGTCCCTGTCTAGAGAGTCGTCTCTCTCCACTTTTATCTCTACAGGCTCCTTGTAGGGCCGCCCTGGGATCCTTGACAGCAAACTGAGATCTATAGGAAAAGGGAAGGAAAGGGGAAGGGTAGGATATGGTTTAACTTCGTCCAAAGTAAAGAGAAGCTTCAGGAGTGTGCACTCCATCTAGACAAATGGAAAACAAATGAAGTGAGAATTTGTATTAGTTTCATAATACTACTTTGCCTTAAGAGCAAGTTCAACTGACCTATTTTGACTAGTAAAACCTGCTGCTGAGGCGGCCTTGCAGGGTAGCGTTCCTCAGGGTCACTCAGTGGAGACAAGAGCTCTTTCTCTTCCATTGGAGAAAACACACACACAGGGGTCCTGATACTCTCTGTGTACTTGGGCGTCTGCGACGACGACGGGATGCTCTCGTTCCCCTCAGAGTCGGATGATGAAGAGTCTGTATCGACAAACTCACGAGACTTCTGGGAAGTCTTGGTGGGTGCCTTGGCTTTGCGTTTATCTACAGTGGTGGTAACAGCAGCTGCGGTCGGCCTCGGAGAGGATTTAGGCTCTTTTTTGATACTTGGTTTGCGGGAACCCTTAGTGGCAGCTTTGGGCCGATGAGGAGGGATCTCTGGAGCTGGCTCACTCTCTACTCGCAGACCTCCCTTGGGTTCCTCCACCACTGGGGGCTTCTCTGACTTTTTGGGCTGTTTTTTACCCACACGGATTCGCGGATTCGTGCCACCTTCACTCTGGGCGGGGGATTTTTGCCGGCCGCGGCCACCCTCTGCACCCTTTTGCGCTGCCCGTAGGTCCCTACTTGGGGTGGGTGCCACTGAGTCTTTTGACCCCCCTCCCTGGCTACCATAGCCACGTCCTGAGCTATTATCTCTGCCCTCTTTCTTGCATTTGGTTGGAACATTATTGTCCACTGGAGAAGCTGGGGAGAACTGCTTTGCCTTCTTGAACCAGTTGTCCAGCTGCCACTTGTTGGCCATGGGTTGTTCAGGCTGAATGGGAGAACACACAAAGGTAAGAAATTGACTTGGTGAGCAAAAATCATGAATGAAACCTAGTCAAACATAAAAAAATTTCTTCTTAAAAATGGTATTTTGGGCAGAAGAAAGAACATTCAATGTCTTATAACTATCTCAAGACAAAAATAAGTTAGTGCCAATGAAATAAAATGGGTTGAGCCAAATTCTAATTAAGTAGCACTAGAGCTTTGTATAAAGTTGTGGTTAAATCATTACTTCGGGAGAGGCGGGCCGTGGGTGCTCGTTGGCTTCACTGTCTGTCGTGCTGCTTTCACTCTCGCTGTCTGAGCCCGAGCTGCTCTCTGAGCCGCTGTGGCTGCTGGAGTCATCCCTCGATTGCTCCGCTCCTTCACTGTTATTGCTGTCGTTACAGAAGAGGGAGTCAGATGATATTATGTTGTGCGCAAAAGGTATACAGTGCACTTTCAGTCACATTTTGATCAACTCAATATGAAACAGCAGATTGTCTACAAACATTGTAGAGATGCCACCCCACTCTGCACAGACACCCTGCTGAACCATGTACTGCAGCAACGAGGACCCAGTTTTTAAAACTGGTAAAATGTGCAAATTATTAACACAACTGTCCACGTTTCAGGAGTTTCTACCCCTATGGAGAAACGTGAAACAAACAACTAATAGCCGCATATGTTGTACAGTTTCACATAAACATAAGCTGATTGATTTTATATATACACACACACACACACACACATATATAGACAGATCCTCTAAAAGAACAGATCCTCTGTATATATAAGACAATCCAATATCCCTGCAATAACCGCTTTCCTTTCATTTTTGACAGAGGAAAGTGTATAATCCAACCCATTTCTCTCAAGGAACACAATATAACAAACACCTTTCAATAAAAAACAAGGCTAAACACCACTGCAGCCTCAAAACTTTAACTTGAGTCAACACCTCTCTAACACAGTCGCAACAAAAATTCAGCATTCAAGTTTCACAATAGTAAATTTACTATGCACTGTGCTTTACCTTGCTGACGTGTTCCTTGAGGCATTCTTGGTAGACTCCTGTTCTACATCACTATCTTCGCTGCTGCTCAGCTTCAGGTCATCTTCCAGCATACTGAGATACAGGAATGAAACATAATTAAATCTTTGTATTTTATTACAGCAGTGTAATAGCTGCAGGTTGCGAACGCTGGATGTGTCTACATAACTTACAGCGGCTATGTCTGCATGTCTGTTTTCTTAATTCATCATAAATATTTGTTTTAGTATCCTGCTCTCTGTTGTCTGAATCAATACTGGGAAAAACTACAAACAAGCGATTGAGAGCGGAGGTAAAGAGGAAAAGGATGAAGTACTTACGTGGGCTGGTCATCGCAAGCTTTGGACTGGTGGCTGCTGGAGCTCTTGGAGGAACTGCCTCGCTCTTAAAAAAAAAAAAAAAAGAAACACACAAGAAAGACTCATGAGCAATAAGTAAACATAAACGTGTATTAGAAATATAAAACATATACTTTTTGAAATATTTTGTGTCAAAATGTGGATCTGAAATGTGTGCGTGCAATACTCACTGTGTCCACCTGGAAAAGGGTGAGAGTCCTGAGGGAAAAAATAAAAAAATAATCCTCTAGTTAATTAGTTAATTAGTTTCATGAACCTGTTTGTTCATGCTCGATTGTCATATTTGAGATTAGTTCATGTTAATAATAATAATAATAATAATAATAATAATAATAATAATAGGTGAAATTAATCAATAACGGATTTTTTGTGGCCATACATGTTTACATGCAAGAAGTTAATTAAAGAAATACCAAAACTGGCTGAAAAGTACTTGAACCTTTTATATCAATGTCAACCTTCTATCAATAATAAATCTCATCTCTTTATAGTTCAGACAACCACCGGACAAGGTTTCTCTGGGTTGGCTGCATGTTATGTTATGCAAGGTCTGTCTGGACCATACAGAAGTAATAAACAAACAATTAATCCTCATTAATTAATCATGACACATAATCATTTGAATCTAACAGTCAACACAGCCAGTGGTGCAATCCTGACCTTGGTAGGGAATGGAAACTTGGAGGGCTCTGTTTTGCAGGGGGTGTGGATGGCTGTCAGCGGAGGGGGCCACGACTGAGTCATTTCCTGAAAGAAAGCAAAAAAAAAAAAAAAGAAAATCACACACACACACACACACACACACACACACACACACACACACACACACACACACACACACACACAGAGGGAAAAATGTGCAAATGAGTCGTAAGGTGTGAGTAACACAGAATGCTCTCTCATTAACTCGAGGTCTTTCTCTGAATTCTCATGATGAACTGCTCGCCTGAGAGAAGCGGTTTCTTTTTTAGCAAAATACAATGATGTACATACCTTCAGAATTTCATCGACACAGTTGGCATCACCAGGGCCCTTAAGACAGAAACATCATACTCAGCACATGTGTTCATAAACAACATGAAGTCAGTGCAGCAGGTGAGAGGCAGTTTCCATTTTGAGTACATGAGTCACTCTATAGGCATTTTATGAGACCTATGAGTTCAGTCAGACCATGTGTAATGCACTGTGAGGCAATTTAATTCAGTTATTACATCATTATGAATATATTCTTCATTTAAAAAGTGCTCTGCCATTTTAAGTCTTCAACCTCCACTACTATGGATTTATACCTTAAGCACCACATAAACACAGCATGGCCTTTCGTGAGTAGTGAACATAAGCTGCAGGGTTCAGAATTAATTAAAAGTAGAATGAAACTGAAGCCTTACCTCCACAGGTTGTGAGGGGATCTTGAGTTTGGAAAGCGAGGCCTTGCCGTTGGACTTCATCTCTCCCATGGTGCTGCTGTGCGACTGTCCGCTGTAGCTTTCTGCTTGTGAGCTCTTGGGTTCTGCTGTTTCCTGGCCGTCCATAGGCCGCACATAGGCCGTTGGCTTCTGCAGCATGGAGCCGGGCTTGGACATGAGAGATGGGGGGAAGGCCTGACTCGAATGCTGTCCACTGGTGAAGGAGGTGTGAACCCGTGAGGGTGAGTCCCAGTTGGCCTCTCTGTCTCGTGGGGACTTGGAGCGGTAGCGCTCCTTGCTGTGATGCTGCTCGGCAGACAGGGAGCTCCGTGAGTGGCTGTTGCTGCTGGAGGAACTCAGAGAGCCCTTGGCCGGACTCGATGTGTGTGACTTTGAGTGCTCCGACGCTCCGCTATGTTTACTTGATTTCTTTTCCCGCACCTCTCCTCCGTGTCTTTGGCTACTACTGCTGCCGCTACTACCTCCGTTGCCCCTCTGGCTGCCGTGCCCACCCTGGAGTCCTGAGCGTTTCTGGGATTGGGATGAAGATCCACCTGCTGCGGGACCAACAGGAGTCCACTTACTGCTCTGGCTGCTGCCACCACTACCGACACCACGCTGGTCCCCGCCAAACAAAGGTGGGCCTGATTTCTCCTCAGAGGAAGACGAGCTGTTAGAAGGTTTACCGCCAAGCTTTGGAAGTGTGTCACCGATGGGCTCTTTCATCTCGTCGTAATTGCCCAGCATGCTCTGAATACGGCTGGACAGTTTATCTTCCTTGCTGGACTGAAGAGAGAAGCAGAGAATGGGAGAAGAGGAGGTGGGGCAGAGGACAGTGTGACGATGGAGAAAAAAAGAAAAAAGAGAAAGAAGAGACAGAAAATTCATTGAGAAGAAAATGAATGAGAGAAAAATGAACAGAGGGAAAGCAGAGAGGATAGAGGGGTGGTGAGAGAAAACAGTCATTATGGGCACAAGTTCAACACTTGGGTTAATTGCTTTCCATCAAAAACACTGACAATGGAGGAAAAAAAAATCGCTTCTACACAAAAAGACTTAAAACCAGTCAAATAAGCAAAATGAGCATAACGGGAAATGCACATTTTCATCCCACAAAAGACAAGAAACAAATTACATCTTAACCCCGTGTGTCACCAGTATTACATTTGAAATAATTGACTAAACATAGAGAGAGGCACAATCAGCCAATCACACAGTTACGCTTGTTCAAACTGGGGCCAGATCAGTCCACACCCATCTGTGAACACAGATAACCGTCTACCCATAGTTCCAACACAGAGGTTAATCAATCACTTTAAGGCCATGGGTTCCAGCCGACCTGCTTGCAATCAGCCTGTGACAAAATATCCAGTTACACATGCAGCCTCAGACCTCTGTTTTGTTTGACAGACTCACGCAGACGGTGAGGAAACGCAAGCCGTTATCTGCTGGCAGGAAATGTAACTAGCTTGGTCATAATGTGCACTCCACTACCTCCTGCTAGCATCGCCTGGCTCACATGTGTGAAGCTGGTGAACTGTAGCATCACCTATTTTTTCATTTTTTTTTTTAAGGGAGGTTGTTTCCATTTTGTAATAAGAGCATAAATCAGTTTTATTATGACTGTATCAGACTGCCAGTGGAACACTGCTTTTTTTCCAAACTACAAGTTTTTCAAAGGGCTGATATTATGGCTTATCACACATACTGATGCTGACATGTATGTTGGCTGGTAATGCTTAAAACAAAGGAGACTAAACAGAAAGTGCTTTAGGTAAATGAGAAACAGCCGAACCATTACACAGTTTGTTCAATAAACTCAGTGTTTACAAAGACATTGATTGCAACACTCTGCAGTGTGTTGACAGAATGAAAACGTGCTGTAAAAACAAGACAGTTGTATTGCACAGAAAAACTATCACATCTAACAGGAAACGTATATACACTTCTCTACATATTGTATTTCTCATCTGTAATAAAAATACTTTCTCACCATTCCTCTTTGACAAAACCTTTTCACATGGCTCTTTTCATCCACAGAAATTCTCACTAACCTTTTTAGGAACTCACAAACTTTACCTCCACGCTGACCAGAGGAACACTGTTCCAAGTTTCGGTTCCTGTCCCCACAAAAAGGCTCCAGTGCTGAGACTAGTTCCTGCCAGCCAGGAACCATTCTTACAAACATCACTTCAAACATTGCATTTCCCCAATAGAAACTAACAAAGAAAAAAAACAGATTGCCATCTCTTCTAAATATGATCTGCTACCTTTTCACTTGCAAAAATGACAACCTACGCCATCAGTTTTCAACCTGTTACCTGTCTGATCTTTGTGTTTCTTAAGATGCAGTCAAAATGCAAGCATAAATGTACTCCATGGATTTTCATTTCCTGAGATCAGGACCGCTTAGTTTCTGGAGCTAGTTAGATCCTGGCACAACTTGGTTTAAAAGGCCTGTTTGATAATCACATCTGACGGATCCCTGATTGAAAAAATTAATTAGCCCCCGAAATAAAATATTGTGTGTCTCTAATTTTCAACAGATAAGTTTGTTGCTCCTCATTTTGTGCAGCTGAGTTACAAGTGCGTGAACTCTGCACCATAAAAATGTTACTGCTCTGCTGGTCTACATCTGGGAGGCCACAGCTGCAGCTGTGTGCACACATGGCCTTTTAATGCAGAACACAGTAAACTTCCACTTAGTGGAGCATGACAGAGAGGGAAAAAAAATTCAAACTGAAGCTTACATAAGACTCAGACAAGCAGGAGACAAGAGATACAAAGCGTAGAAAAGCCAGTGACTTAAACAGTTGGCTTTTTCCACATTTTTTCCAGCATGCCACCCCCTCTTTCTTAAAAGCAGTTTCTGGAAACAGAAGAACCAACATGCACAACAGAATTATTTGCTGCAAATGCCTTCCTTCCTTTGGAAAGGTCAAGGACTTTTCCTTCTTCAATGTCAGCTTTTTACCTTTCACTTTGTTGTAGTCCAAAACACACAGGCCAGCACTCATCACTCACCTCTGGTACCCTCTCTATTCCCAACCTGTCAGGACACATTCCTCACTGCTGCTTTGATGTGTAGCTCTTGCTACGGAGAGGAGCCACTTACCTCTGCTCAAATCTGGTTAGTGGCAAAGATTAGACCAGTACAGAGAACTCAAATCCTCTTTACAATTACACTGAATGGGCGGGAGCTGGGAGCCGGCTGGCTGGCCTACATCTATGTGTGTCTCTATGAGCTCAGAGTGAAGACACATAAGGTGCAGGAGGAGGGGAAGCTGGCGTGTTTTTATGTTTACTTTCTACAGTTGCACTACAAAACAACTAAGCAACAACAGGTGCCGTCAACTCAACCGACTCTTGTGTATTTTGTGCATAGTTGGTCAACAGCTGACTATCTGACAGCTCACGATTATTTAATTCAAACGTCAAACGTTTGGAAAAGCATCAGATATTGTTTCTAATACCTACATACAAATATCAACACAACCACATACTGTGCTGCACACAAATCACGCACGTCACCTTAAACAACTCCTGCATGGGTATTAAAGCACATCTTGCCCTATTTAGCTTTCATCACATCAACAGTAAACAAAAGCAAGACTGCAGGATCCTGAAGGTCATTATGAAAAAGAAGAGGGAAAAAAAAAAAAAAGAAAAGCAACAAAACTTTTTCTCAAGCCTAAATGAAACATAGAATTTTCTTGAGGACATCTAATCAATTTATAACTAAAAGGTTTTTTTCAGACTAACAACTACTGCATGAAGCGTGCACACACACACCTGCAGGAGGACACCAAAGGAAAGAGGGTTTCCTTCTCTACCACGGAGGCCTGAAGCTAAGGATTCCTCTTAGTAGTCTAAGAAGCATAAGCACGGGTGATGACGATGCGGTGTTGACATAAATGCTCCTGGTCGTACGTGCAGTTCTCACTTCCTGTCACTGTTGCAAATTCCTCTACACTGACTAATCAATTTTCATGTCAAAAGTGAACGTGAGGTAAATTAACTCACCACTTTGTAAGGTTCAGGGAAGAGAGGGGAATTTGCTGGAAAGGCCTCTCCTCCTCCCTGCTGGATTTCTTGATTTCTCCTTTCTCTTTCTTTCATTCGGAGCACATTCCGGTCCTCACGGTTCATGTTGCTAATAACACAAACACAACAACAAAAAGTCAACATAAAAACACGCTGAGGAGAGACAATAAACAGACTTATCTCATAGCTTTACAAGGATGGCTATAAAAGAAGCGGTATTATGAAAGTGAGACGTTCATAAAGGAAACACCTGACGGGTCTGTAAGAATTTACCTAAAACTTAGTCTCGCTCAAAAGTGAGGAAACATAGCTACAAAGCATAAACCCTTCAGTTTTCTTTTTTGCGCTACAATAACTTAGTTTGCAAAGTTATAGCAACTACTTCAAGTTTCCAGCCATTCACAGCAAATCATTCGGTCAGATTGCCATTACATACTCGCTACTTTGAGTCACAGTTTTTTTTTTTTTTTTGGTAAGCCACAAACTGGACCATCATCAGTGAAACCCCAAACATCATAAACAGGGATGGGATCACAGAGATGACTTGTGGAGAAAGTAGTCTCTAATAAGCTTAAGCTGGTCCAGACACTGTGCAGTAGCCTACTTCTACTGCAAATAATCTCCTTGTACAGATGGTCAATGTTAAATTGTACCCCAGCTCAAACAACTAATGACCGTTTTTCAATGTTGTCGTACAATGTCAAGTTCATTTACTACAATTTGTAAAGCTGCTAGCTCACCAACTATAGGAATCAAATAGAAACGGTTTTAACATATTAGTTTTGGGGAATTGCATAAAAAAAACACAACGTAATTAAGATTAAATAACCTACTGCTCTCAAACTGCAGCTTCAAGCCACTGACTCCATCACTGGAAGCTAAACACACCTCTCTGCCCTTATTGTCCGCCTGAGCATAATGTGTAGTGGAAACATAAAAGTGGACAGCTATCTGGGGGCAGCGTCGTTCTAAGAGGATGTATGGATTGACACCAGAGGGACAAACAACACCAAATGTACGAACAAAGGATTAATCACAGTGTCTTAAAAAAGAAAAAAAAGCAAAATAAAACCTCACATAAAATGTTCATGCCATCTGGAATATCACAACATGGGACTTTGGACAGAACAAGTGAGTGCTCATTAGGAACAGCCACTCTGACAAAGAACAAAATGTGACTGTTGTGCACCTTGTTTAAAAGAAAACAACTACAGAGCTTTGAAACCAGAAAGAAGCAAATTATCAGCCAGGCGTGTCGCCTCTCCCTCTAAGTCGACAGCTTCAGGCTCTGCCAGTGACAACAATGATTTTAAGGCTGATGACAGAGAGCGATTATGCTGCAACCACCCGGCCTCCTCCTAGATTATAAACACAACATACAAGGGTGTTTTCAATTCTTACTAAGTATGACTGAAAAGATGAAAAGAAGCAGATGGGAAACCGACTCTGGAAGAGGAAAAAACACTACACACAGGGAAGTCAAACTAAACTATGTCCAGACAAACTAACCTAAATATTTGAAACCATGAGAGTTTCCTAGAAGAATTCACACAACTCTCACATTAAAACTGATCAGGATTATCAATCAACCAGCAATGTTGCAGACTAAATCTAGAACAAAACAGTTCCAGGTGTTTTACAATTTATTCTATCTGGAAGCTTATCAGCAAGTCTAAACAGTAATTTCCCAACCAACCTCTTGACTAAGCCTTAGTCCGTTTTACATCATCAACACCGCCCAACCACAGCATGAGTCATTACACGTAACAGACAACATGATTTACACACTGTCACTGAGCTACACTAAACCAGAGCTTAGAAAGCAGCCAAGGCCATGAGACACCATTAGCAACAGTTTTATCAGCAGAGGTGTAAAGACAAAGAAGGAAACATTGTTTGGGTTATCCATCACCCAAACATCCATCAACACCTCACTGTTATCATCTCTGGACTTTATTTGACTCCCAACACAGCTAAGAACGGAGCTTAGACTATACACTGCCAAAAAATAAACAGACACTTTCAGTGTAAAATTGAATAATAAAGCTGCTACAACTTTAGTGTCTACTATAGCTAACAGTGTGGAAGATTTACTCCAACTGCGTTCTACTAAATTTTGCTTGATATTATTCATTTTGCCTACTCTATCACCCAGCTGGGTACCAACTAGGGCTGGACAATAAAACGATAGTGATTTATAACAGCGTGAGACACTTCATCTATAACAAAAAGTGAGATAGTTTAACGGTTGCATTAACAAACCCCAAACTCGCTCCCTCGCTGGCTCATGAACACATAAACCCCCGTAAGCAGTCTATCATATCCCTTGACAATGGAGGGTGGTACAAGTGACATGCAAAAAGCCAATCATTTAAACAGACAAATGCCAAGTGTGCTCCCTCCCTGGTTCATAAACAGCCAATCATATCCCTTGATAACAGGCCGTGCTACAAGTGACAGACAGCCAATCACTTAACAGGTGTGTTGTTCAGTTGCACCAACAACAATAGAAGCATGTGTAGCAGCAGAGTGTAACCTGCGAGGACATTGTTGACAAAAAGTACAAATCATCTTGCAAGTATGGTCGTTTTTTTTGGTTTCCTTAAGACTAACTGATATCAGAACATTATTGTGTGTGACCTGGTACTACATGTACATGCAAATGAGCCTTTTGATGTCAGTGGGGCTGCATGTGTGAACTGGCTGCTGTTAGCACAGTGCTAAATGATCAAATGCCCCAGGCCCGGAATCATTTGTAAACACAGCTCATGTCAGTTCTGCCCAACTAACTGACTGATCTATTGGCTTTTATTAGTTGAACAGGAGGTTACATCATGTTACACTGTAGTATAGCACTAAAGAGAAGACAAGAGGCTTAACTGTTTATTTGTGGTTTTAACAATACTAGAGGATAAATGCTAGTATTTATCAGCCGCCAGTCTCTTTCATTTTGCCCCTTTCCAAAATCAAAATAACTTCACTGCCTCTTTCTATCTTGGTGAAAATGAAAAGCTAAACGTGGGCTCCCTCTCCCATGTTGTTGTTTTTTCTCTAGTTCTCTGTATGAATAAAAAGCAAAGTGTGCTCCTGGTTTTGAATAAATAAGGAAGTACACCAAGTACCCACATGAAGGAAAGAATGTGAAAATCCTATATTGGTGTTATGATGTGACTGTGTGAATATGGAGAAAGTCTGTCAGCATGACCTGTTTGTAAGCCAGCAACAAAACTAAAACGGAGCTATATGGAACAACAAACCAAAACCAAGTTCAACACTACTGCACACCAACACATGTGTGTACTGTTTACAACATGGTGGACAGGCAACTGTGTGTGCAAGTGTGGCTTAGCATCAAAAAAGACAGGAATGTTATCACTGCACGAAAACAATGGAGAAAGTTTGTCTAAAGCTGGGCTCACACTACAGGCTTTTTAAAATCCTAACCAATTTTGAAATCAGGTTGCATCATGCCCATAAAGAGAAACTTCACAGATGTTCTTATCTACCAAACTCAAAAATGCACACACTACAAGATTTTTAAATTATTGCACATCACACACTACAGGATATTATTAATATTATCATGTCAGAGAGAGCAATCAGGGAGCAATGCACCACGGGCGGCCTGATGAGTCTGTGAGCATTTCGGAGGGTTTAAGATTGGATCTGTGAACCCATCACATTACCAGATAATCTGGCCTGAACATTGGTACCAACCAAGGTCCGGCATCAGACCTCTCCTCCAATTGAGAGAGGGATGAATCGTGGTCATACTGGCCCAAAACTCCTGTTGTTTGGCCATGGTATTACGTGACAAGGCAACCACTACTCATGGTGGATGGAGTCGTAGTCATAATACCCAAGAATCACCTAATGGCAGATGTCACATAGTGTTACTTTCAAATTTAATCTTTCATTTTTTAAGCACTGGGGGTTTCCCTTGCCCAGTTAAGTGAGGCCCAATTGAGCATATTGTTTATTTCTTTGTGAAGGTCAGTAGTTGTGGTCTGTATAAATAAGATGCAACTCAGAAACCACCAAGTCAGCCACTGTTTACCTGTGGCCTTCAAGAAAACCATGCACTCATCCCTAATCCCAAAATCAGGAATGTGTGGGAAACACCCAGGACAAACATTAATTTCTATTTTACTCATTTAAAGAGCAAACGTTAGAGGCACAGATCATAAAGAAGCCTCAGTTTAAATATTTGGCTGAACCTACATCCAAGGCCCAAGCGCTACAGAGCTAATCAGTTGCCAACATAGTAAGATAGGCTAAGTAGATTGTTTCAAAACAAGGCAAAAAGTCTACCTAAGCAAATCACTTCTAACACATGAGTTTAAATGACATTTATTATCATCAAAGTGTAATGGCCAGCTACATTTATTGTAATCATTCAATAGTGTATGCCAAACTGAAAAGGTCAAAGTCTGCTGAGTTGAAAAGGCAGTTCACTCTGTACCTAAATTAATCAACTCATCTGCCTCTTTCTCAGTCACAACATAAAACCCCCGGCCCACTTCTAAAAAAAAAAAAAAAAAAAAAAAAAAAAAGGAAGAACTGATGGTTATCTGAGAACCATGAATACAGGACTGGACTTCTGTGACACAACCATTATGTTAAGCCAACCAAACACAAGTTTATATGACATTTTAATAAGACTTGAATGTGTATATATATTTATACACATATATATGAGTGTAGAGAATAAAGTGCTTTATTCCTACCACACACCAACAGAATAAGTCAAGCAGCCAACTAGTTGTGCATTTCTTACCCTGACTGAGAGGCCATGGCCCCAACCACTGAAACATTGGAAGGAGGAGGGGAGGAGGGTTCAGAGGATCTCCCAGGGATTCACAAGTATTCTCGTCATGACTTGTTAGCCAAAATTTCTACGCCAACCTCGGTGAAAACAACCTGTCCCTTTTCTAAATGTATCTGTGGGCGTCCAGATGGAAGAGTATAACTACAGTTTCTTTACTCCACTCGATGGTACAATGTATTTCCTTGGAGTAGAGACAAATCTGACTTAGTGAGGGGAGGTGACTGCTCCTTCTCGGTAGATACCACGTCAGCAAACAGCAGGGGTAGTCACATGCTAGGTGA